CCCCCGGCCGGCCCCCTCGCGCTCCCGGCCTCGCCGAGCCCGCGGAGGCCGCTGCGCGACCTGGTGCCGGGACCCGTCGCTGAGGCCGCGCGGCGGGCGCTGGCGGCCGCCGCGGGGCCGCTGGTGGTCGCGCTCGCCTCCGCCGCGCTGGTCCTCGGGGACGCCGGGGCCGCGTCCGCGTTCGTCGTCGCCACGCCGCGGAAGCTGCAGGCCGACGAGCTCGCCACCGTGCGCCTCTTCAAGGACAACACCCCCTCCGTCGTCTACATCACCAACCTCGCCGTCAGGTACGCCTGGGCCGATCCTCTCTCTCCCCCGCCCATTCCCGTTCGCTTTTGTCTCCGTTCGTCTGGCCTTGGCGCCTGACCAGAAGCTCTTCACGCTGTGCAGGCAGGACGCCTTCACGCTGGACGTGCTCGAGGTGCCGCAGGGCTCGGGGTCCGGCTTCGTCTGGGACAAGCTCGGCCACATTGTCACCAACTTCCATGTCATCCGTGGCGCGTCTGACCTCAGGTTGGTTAACACTTGACAGAGCCGCTCGCTGCTGACATATTCTTCAGCAAAATTCAGATAACAGCATGCCCAGTCTTCTACTAGATTTTACGTTTATCGAAGGTTCATAGAAGGGTGTAATTGCTGTGGACCTGTAAGCAGCTAAGAACTCGAACGAACGAATAAACAGGGGAATCGAGAGTCGCAGAACTGCAATTGATGTTGATAAGCATGGGCAATGTGGACGTGGCTGCTTAGTTTTAATACCAGAGCACAGTGAACCGTTAACGCTCGCTGCTAACGACTCGTTATCATTTGGATTCAGTGTGCGTAGCAAATGGGTCCATAGGCTGCAGGCTGTAGGTTAGTTATAGTAGATGTTTAACCTGACACATCTCTGAAACTTTAGAGTGACTATATTTTGCATCCCATTTTTCATAATTTCATCCAGTACTTGATGCTAGATCCGAGACTAGAATGCAAAATGCTAACAATGACCTATGCACTTTGGTTTCGTCTAAACATCATTTACGTGTTAGTCATGCTTTCTTTGCTTCCTTGCTAATGTCACATGATGTCAATTTACGCAGATATGCAGATAGTATGCTACCATCTTGTTGAATATTTATGATAGTGTTGTCTTGAATTGTATCATGGCGAAGTGAAATTACCGTTTTAGTTTTATTTAGGGTCACGCTTGCTGATCAGTCGGTGTATGAAGCGCAAGTTGTCGGATTTGACCAGGACAAGGATGTTGCGGTTTTGAGTATCGAAGCACCAAAGGATAAACTAAGACCTTTACCAGTTGGTGTGTCAGCGGACTTACTGGTTGGTCAGAAAGTGTATGCCATTGGGAACCCAGTGAGTGCTTCTTACACCAATTGTTCTATGATTTATCTATATAAGTCGGCTATGTACACGCTTGACACCAATCGTCCAGTGTTTTTGTTTTCATTCCAATTCCCAAACCTGAGTTCAAATTTCAGTAGGGCCGGCCTGTTTCTGATCCTGATTATGTTGAGGTAGCACTAGCATAGGAAATGAAAATGTGCTACACAGCATCACAAACAAATAATAACACAATTGACCATGACCAAGTGTCCAATCACTGGTATGCGGAACAGATTCTATGCTAAGCAACTATGTATGGCATATTACTTTGTAAATTTTCAGTATAGTTCATGGATTTGAAGAGTTGATTTAAACACTTCAGTTATTTGGCCTCTTTCGATTATGTGCATATTACTTTAAGCAACTAATGATTACTGTCTAACATTTTTAATTTATATATTTGCAGTTTGGCCTTGACCACACTCTTACAACAGGTGTTATCAGGTGTAGTATTATTGATTGGTTAAATTGACTCCACGTTGGCTGATTCTTTTTGCTTGATTTTTTGGTAAACTGAGACACTTTTCTTTTGCTCTCTGCTGACTTCTCCCAGTGGACTGCGACGAGAAATTAGTTCAGCTGCAACTGGACGTCCTATACAGGATGTAATACAGACTGATGCTGCTATCAACCCTGGTAACAGCGGAGGCCCACTTCTTGATAGTTCTGGAAACCTGATAGGTGTAAATACTGCTATATACTCACCTTCAGGAGCATCATCCGGGGTTGGCTTCTCCATTCCAGTTGATACAGTATGTCACTCAGCTTAATTCATAATTTTGGATTTGTTCTGGGTCTTCTCTTCTTATAAATTTCTTGCTTCATGTATTTCAACCATATTCAGGTTGGTGGTATTGTGGATCAGCTTATACAATTTGGGAAAGTGACGAGACCTATTTTGGGGATAAAATTTGCCCCTGACCAATCTGTGGAGCAGCTTGGATTGAGTGGAGTGCTTGTCTTGGATGCCCCCCCGAACGGGCCAGCTGGCAAAGCGGTACTGTCCATCTATACTATACACATGTTTGATGCAAATTCAATAAAACTTGATTGGAAACCACCAAATATTTTTACAGTAGTCAAATTCTTATTTTGTTTCAGTTTCAGTTAACAATCTTTTTACACCTAGCATGAGAAAACCTTGTACTGTTGTCACTCCAGTACATTATAGCATCTGTTGAACAATGTTCTCATGTGCCTTCTCTGATTGTCGGAACTAAGAATACCTTAAGAAACAGAGCAGTAATTCATTTGATAAGAACCAAACTTATGTGCAGAATAAACTTGTCTTTCCTGTTCCTTCCATATAATTATAAAATGCATTTGTTAGACACGTTTCTGCGGTACAGGACTTGTGCAGCTAAATATTTCTGCTTGCTATGTCGTATGCAGGGTCTGCAATCAACGAAACGGGATGCCTACGGACGACTTATCCTCGGGGACATAATTACTTCTGTTAATGGTACTAAGGTTGCGAATGGAAGCGACCTGTACCGTATCTTGGATCAGTGCAAAGTCGGAGAGACGGTAAGCTCTCACCCGTGTTCAACAGCAACACTTTTTTTTTGCCGTTGATGGCTGCTAAGGTACTCGCTTCTGTTCTTTTAAAGGTGACCGTGGAAGTATTGCGCGGAGATAAGAAGGAGAAGATCGCTGTGGTCCTTGAACCAAAGCTCGACGAAACATAGTGAGTGGTGTCCTTCTCGGGTGTATTCTCACGTAGGTACAAGGTATTAGCATGTTGGCCTACCACGGAGCTCCTTGCACATAATTGATGTTTGTAAATTGTCTGGTGTACAAAGAAAGGAAAGAAAAATATCAATTTGGTTCATCGATCATGCCTTATGTGCGCTGTTCCAGTACATGATCTATCTGCTTACATATACTACTCTTTGATACCGCTACATAGTGTGACAATAACATCAAATGTCAGCCGTTAGATATGCTCCATTCATTGGATAAAGTTTTCATCTCAGAGGATTTCTGACACGTGATCTTTTAATTGAACCCCCATTCTATCATCCATTGTATTCTAGAAGCATCTTTTTCCCATGACAAGGATCTGATTCTAAAATTAGAGGAATTTGGATTTTAGAGAGTTGGGCCCTGCATTCTTCGCATAGAAGGAAATAAAATATCGAGAATGCATTCCCCCCTGCTGTCATATATTTGATGACTTGCTTAGCATGTACAATTTGCTGCTCCCTCCTATCCAAATTAATTGACACTGACAAAGTACAACTTTATACTAAAGTTGTACAAAGTTATCATCAATTAATATGGATCGAAAGGACTAGTAGTTTCAAGAGATTTACCTTGACATTGGAAATATTCTACTCTCTCCATTCACTTATTATAAAATGTTTTGAATATTTCAATATGGACTACATACGAACTGAAACGAGAGAACAAACACACTACAACGTGTCTACATACATCTGATTTATAAAAAAAGTTAGAACATCATATAATAGTGAACGGAGAGTAGTTCTGAGAGAGAGAGAAAAAAGTGAACACAACATAATTCTCCATATCTGGACCAACTCATGACATGGTGTTATTGCAAAGATAACATAATTCTAGATATACTTATGTCACAACTGCTCCACGGAGAAATCACACAAAGGACGCTCCGAGTTCAGTGCGGTCGAAGTAGGCGCCGGTGACGCCCCCCTTCTCCGCCAGTGCAACTGCAACCGCGGCGGCGGCGCCCTCCGCGGCCGTGAGGACGCCGGTGTAGTCGTTCATCCCGGTGAGGACGTAGCCGGGGTGCACGCAGTTGACCCGCAGCGCGGCGCCCTCCTCCCTGGCGATCACCCTGGTGTAGGCGCACACCAGCGCCTTGGAGGCCATGTAGGCCGCGTAGACCGGGTCGGCCGGCCACCCGCGGCGCTCCAGCGCGCCATTGCCCTTGCCCAGGTCCTCGAGGAACAGGTCCGACATCTCGTCGAGCCGCTGCGTCGTGAGGTTTGCGACGTCGTCCAGCTCCCGCCGGAGCTCGTCGCCGCTGAAATACTGCATTTTTGCAACATTAACAGCAGATGAGCCTCTGTTTTGACAGATGGGACTGTCCTACTCTGCAAGTGATTTTTGTGCAGCAAATTGAACTGATTGCCAAATATATATGGATGACGTACCCTGAGCAGCCCCCAGGCTGAGGTTACGTTGACGATTCTGCCGTCGGAGGATGATCGGAGGAGCGGGAGGAGGGCTTCCGTGACGGTCTTGTTGCCGTGGTAGTTGATCCTCAGGCAGTCCTCTGCATCCTGGGTGGTCTGTGTGGTCCGTTGCCTCAGCCATTCGGCTCTCTCCATCCCATCCTTGCCTGCAAGCTGTTATTAAGTGATGGACATGGATGCAACCAAACAACCTTCAGTAAGTAATTTAGCTCCAAACGTTGGAAATGGAAGCAAATTCGCCCATTTACCGTTTCCTGAAGGGTCGCCGGGTCGCCGACGTCCGTGGTCACCCCGAGCACTCCGGCATTGTTGACCTGCGGTGCGGTGCGCGTGAGTGCAATGATCACCAATTTTGTTGAAATTGCCTTCTTTATCACAAACCCATTGCAAATTCAAAACTTCATTTGAAAATTTAAGCAGCTTTACCAGTATGTCAAGCTTGCCGAACTTCTTCTTTACGAAAGCAGCCAGACGAGCGGCACTGGCGGGCTCGCTGATCTCCAGCTGATGAAACGCGACGTCCGATAGCCCCTCCTCCCGGAGCGTTTCGGCTGCCTCAGCGCCCCTCTTGTCGTCCCTCGCCGTCAAGACGACGGCGAGCCCGTGCCCCGCAAGCTGCCGGCATATCTCCAGCCCCATCCCCCGGTTCCCTCCGGTCACCACGGCAACCCTAAGAGAGAAATATAACGATGAGAGTGTAACTAATCAACAAACAGGTGGTTGTCTCTAAACGAGGTATCAATCTGCTATTACTCAGACAGAAAGTTGCTTGCCTTTTCTCTGACGGACCGCTGATGCTTCCTTCCATTGTGGCTTCTTCTAATCCTGTAGGTTTTGCTTACTACAGTATAATTTGCAATAGCAACTACAGTTTAGAGTTTATCAGAGGTTTTCAGTCCATGATCTTCACAATTTTCAGTCCATGATCTTCACAATTTTCATTTTCTATCAAGTTTTTTCCTCTGTCAAATCACTTGAGAGGCTGCTCTACAAAAATATTTCTAATGGCTATACGGTACAACACAACATACACCACAATAATTTCAGTACAGATTGCAACACTAGGATAGGATAAGAAGCAGAGCAGCAAGCAGCGGCAGCAATGAGCAACAAGCAGCGGCAGCAGCCAGAACAAGAAGCAGAGCAGAGCAGCGAGCAGCGTCCCAGCTCTCTCGCTCGACCGGCGCCTCCCCCCATCGGCCGGCCCTACCTCACCGGCGTCGGCGAGGGTGTGCCATCTCAGAGAGGACGCGCCGTCGAGCTCCTCCTCGCTCCTCACAGACCACCCCTACTAACCAACCCGTCGTCGAGCTAGGGCCTAGGAGGGAGGAAGAAGGGACCAACCTGGCACGGACGGAGCACTCCGGGACGGCGCGGGGAGAGAAGATCCGCCGGCGCCGCTGCGCTGCAGTTGGCCGATGCCGCACGCCCTCCTCGTGCACAACTTTGCCTCTGCGCTTGGAAAAGATGGCCGGTCTTGCTTACTTTCTCCACTATTTTTATCACTGGGCCATGCTGATACTCGGTCAATGTTGGAGGCTGCAAGGAACATGGACGAGCTAGCTGGTCGTCGCACTGAGGCTTACTTCAGTGCTGACGTGGACGTGTGACAAGAAATGGTCGCGCGATGGGATCAATCTTGCGACAGCTGAACTCGGAATAAAAAATGTTCGTAGAGTGTCCATAACCGGAGCGGGCAAATCCGGCTCCCTAAATGTCCGCGGACGTGTCGACGGCGCCGACCCGCTTCTCATTGTTCGCCACAACAACCACACCCTTCATATTCAAACTCTCATTTTCATGCAAACTCGTGCACGATAGATTATATAGCATACGCAACCAAATGTCCAAATCATCACCAATTCAGTGATCAGCACAACCGAAATTAAAGCACGGTTTAACAATTTCAACACAACCCAAAATAAAATTCAACAACTCATTTATAAGCCTCTTTCACAGCCTCGCGGACGAGCTGCCGAGCAATTAGTTAGGGTTGCCTGCAACATCTGGAACTTCCCTTTGTTCATACGACCATCCAGGGTTGGTAAACCGAGACATTTCCATCTCAAATTCAGAATTTTGAACTTGCAACTCCCGCTTAACCACTATCTATGTCTCCATAAGGCAGTTGTATCGAAACTTTATATAACATTTTTGTGGGTTTATTAGCTGGTCTGTTGCTCTTCTATATCAATGAATGACACCCTGGACATGCTATGCCTAGGCTAAATTAGCTCTGAAAAAAGGATATTGTCATCCACAAATAGTAGTTGTGATACTCCTGACGCCTCACTACATATTTTTACATGTTGAACATCATGTGCCTCCACTCCTTGTTGAAGCAGCGCACAGAGCTCCTCGGCAACAAAACAAAAATAAATCGGGGATATGGGTTCACCTTGTCGAAACCCACACGGCCGGTGGAAAGAAGCTGGCTAATTTACCCCCTGAGATCTAAAACCGGGTATTTAACCCCCTGAGCTTTCCTAAACCATGCGAATCATCCCCTAACACTGATTGGAGTGGTTTTGCAGGCGGTTTTGGGGACGTGGCACCCTGGCACGGAGATCCTGTGAGGACAAGCGTTGAGGTACTGATCGGAAGCTGCACCAGCCAGTAGCCGGCTGTGTTCTTGCTTGATGCAAACTCGGCTTGCCATCGCATCCCTCGTGCGCCGTAGTCGCCTCAGTAGCACTCTCGCCGGCCGCGTCTGCTTCTTCCTCTCCGTTGACAAGAACTCATCAAGCTCGCGCCATGTGCAGCCTGCGGCTTCCGCCGGCAGATAACTATGTCCACTGTTTTAGAGCTAATCACGATTATGTTAGTCCTACCTGCCTCGGACATAGTGGTACGTACTTCTTGTGTCTACGTGAGTCGGTGAGTGCTTGTTCCTGGAATCAATCCAGTAGGTATGTAGGTGCATATTGTATCCAAAAGAGCGTTCTATGCGTCTCGCGAGCGACGCTCCGGCTCCTTTCCTTGCCGCTTCCGGCGCCAATGCCCTGCTCGTTGACGACCTCGACCGCTCCACCTGTTTGCCATGGAGAGCTTGAGTACGAAGCCTCGCCGCACTCGATTGGCGCGTACGGCGAGGGGTCGCCAAAGCTAGAACTTGTGTCTGTTGGCAGGTTGCGCTGCACGCCGGTGCGGCCGCCGCATCCGTGTAGCAGGGAGCCCAACGGTGCAAACGGCTAGACCGATCCCACGAGCCCCGGCGGCATGTGCTAGGCCGGAGAAGTAGCTTCGACCATGCAATATTCGCCTGACCCAGGGAATGCCTTTCAAGTCTGGCGTGGGTGGAAGACGTTGCTAAATCGGATCCTGTAAACTCTTTAGTAATGAGAAATATTTGTTGCGTAAATCTGAAGATAAGGTTGGTTTTGCTATCATGGCTTTGTTGGTTGAAGGTTTAGTTCTCACTGAATCTGTGAAATTACAGCATGACAGGCGCCTGTTCTGGCATTAGGATGGGATTCAGTTACTACCTTTAGCTTACTAGCTTTCCACAAGCAATCTTCACTTGGTGTGGCCTTGAAATTTTAGTCCAGTGTGCAGTGCGTGAAACATCCAGCAGTTGTTGGATAGCGCTTCTTGTTTACACATCACTTCACTTCTATGCTCGTCTCATGGACGATTTGGAACGAGCGTGTAACGCAAGAGTGTTTAAGCATAAGACTGCTCCACCGCCAATCTTGCTCTCCTCCATCTCTACAGAGGCCAACCTTTGGGTCATCGCCGGCGCAAAGAAGGTAGGGTTCTTTATTTCACGCGAGTAATCCGCATGCCGTGTTTGTTGGGTGTCTTGTAACAAACTCTTTTCTATCTTAATTAATGGATGAGGCAATGCTTTTGCCTCCGTTTCAAAAAAAAAAAACTTCAGGTTGATCTCACACATCACTTCAAATCATGATTTTCATTGGAATTGGCTTATGTACGATAAGTTAGTTGCATATTCAAAATTTCATTTGAAAATTTGAGCCAGTATGTACCAGTATGTCAAGCTGGCCGAACCTGTCCTTGATGAAAGCAGCCAGAGAAAAATGTAACGATCAGAGCGTAACTAATTACTAACAAACATGTGGTTGTCTTTAAATGAGGCATCACTCTGCTATTACTCGGAGAGAAAACTGGTTACCTTTTGTCTGATGAGCCGCGGATGCTTCTTCCTTCCATTGTGCCTTCTAGTCGGGGAACCACTAGGGATCAGACTACCGATCTGATGGACGAGACTTGTCTGCTCCCCCGGCGTGTGCACATCTGTGCTCCCGCGTACGTGGCTTGTTTTGATTGGAGCAAAATAAGGTCTTGCCCCACCCACTTAAAATCAGGGGAGAGGGGAGGGGAGATGATTAGATTAGAAAAAGAAAAGGAAAAAAGACAGCCGTAGGATAAAGTGAGAGCACAAATAGAAGCATGAGAAGGGAGCAGGCAAGCCGAATCCCCGATCCTTAGCTTTCCATCAGACCACTGGATGGCAGTTGGATGAAAGTTTGCAGATCGCTGAATGCATCCCTCTAACAGCGCCCGCTTTCCTCAATTTCTAAAAGAAACATTCTGTATGCATGTAGCTTCCCTATTTGAGATCCCTATAATCACGCATAATAACTACCTTGCAGTTTTCCATAACAAAATTTTCCTTCTTCACGTTGCTTCCATAGAGTAAATTGCAAAAAACCACCACAATTACGGACCCTAATTCAGAAAACCGCCACCATTCGTCTTTTTTTCAAAAAACCATCAACATTGTGCTGACAGTTTTCATAAAACACTGATCGCTGAGGTAAACACTTGCTAAGTGTAAAACGGACAGATTGGTCCCACTATAAGCGATGACGTGGCTACAAAAACTAACGACGGTTGACTGGAATATAGTTGACCGTCAAAAAAGACATGGGCTTACATGTCAGTGTGATCTTATTCCTCTATCTAATAAAAAAACACCCGCCCTCCACCCGATCCCGATTCACACGGACAGCCGCCGCCGCCCCGATCCGAAAGGATCCCACGCCGGACCGCCGGGCGCCGCCGGCGAGGGATGCCGCTGCCGCCCCGCCGTTCTAGCGGGTGTGAGTAGCAGCGGGAGCCGCCACAGCCATGCATGGGCGCGAGCAGCGGGAGCGGCCCCGTCCGCTCATGGGTGCGCGAGCAGCAACACTGACAGGAGTGCCCACGCACGGGCGCGTCGCAGCGGGGGCATGGTCGCGAGCAGCAGCGAGGACCACGCAAGGGTGCGAGCAGCGGGGCCACCACGGCCGCGCAAGGGCACGCGAGCAGCAGCCCCGTCCGCGCATGGGCGCGCGAGCGCAGCACCGGCCGGGGTGGGCGCGCACGAATGTGCTAGCAGCAGTCCCGTCCGTGCACGACAAGCAGCGGGAGCGGCCACGGCCGCGCACGGGCGTGCGTGCAGCTGCCCCGACCGCGCAAGGGTGCGCTAGCAGCTGCCCCTTCCGTGCACGGGTGCGCGAGCTGCCATCTCCTCCAGAGCACGGGGCGCCGCAACGGGGGCAGGGGTGGCCCGGGTCAAAGGAGCCATCCCCGTCAGGCGGCGGTGGTGCGGATCCTGGGTCGCGGGTCGGCGGCGGAATTGGGGGCCGGTTGCGGGATAGTGGGGGAGCGGGGCAGCGACAGCAATGGGCGCCGGCGGTGGTATGGTATGGGCGGGGAGTGAGTCGGGGTAGGGAAACTCGGAGAGATGGGAGGTGGGACAGTGATGTCTACTAGCGTTTTTTTTTTTTTGCAAACTATGTCCACAACCTCGTTAACTCTGTTCTAGCCACGTGGCACCTGACAATGGGTTCCAGTGATCAG